TGGTTGAAGCAAAGGAAATCAGTATCACTCTTTCTTTTCTTCCAGTTCATTTTCTACTTTCCCCAAAGAGTATCTTCCAGATCCATTTGTCCTGCTTCTCTGCCCATTCTGTTTCCTTGCCCTTCCCCCCCTGCCCCCAATCTGGACCATCTTTCTTGCTGCATCAGCAACTAGATTATGGTATTTCATTCCAGGAAGCTGTTGAACAGAATCTTTGGCCACTGCCTAATTAAAGAACTTTCTTTCTCAGCTGCAATGAAAGCAGACTCCATTCTATACTGCATTTTGATCAATTTCCATACATCTTAGAGACCAAATGTCAAAAAATCTAATATTCTGGAGAGTATTTCAGTTTTGTAGAAAACACCGCGTCCGCTGATACATCTGATTGTTCTGTGTAGTTCCACAGCTTGTTACCAAATGTGAACCTCTAAATGAAAGAACAAGCTATATACATGACAAGAAAATTAAAAATTACAGCATTAGTTTCCATCAATGTGAATTTAAAAAAATATTCTCCAATTTAACAGCATTAATCTGTTCAAGTTGCCATAACAAAATCTCATAGACCAGGCGGCTTAAACAACAAAAATCTGATGTCTCACAGTTCTGGAGGCTAGAAGTCCAAGATCAAGGAGCTAGAAAGGTAGATTTCATTCTGAGGCTTTTTTTCTTGTCTCTGAGGTGGCCACCATTTGGCTGTGTACCCCCATGACCTCTGTTTTGTGCACATGTAGCAAGAAAGGGAGAAAGCTCTTTCTCTTCTCATAAAGCCACCATTCATATGGAATTGGGGACCACCCTTATGACTTTATTTAACACTAATTATCTTACAAAGGCCCTGTTTCCAAAAGCAGTCACATTGGCATTTGGGTTTCGACATATGGATTCTGGGGAAACACAACTCGGTCCATAGCAACACATATTACATAAATTTCTGTATTCAGCTAAATCTGTAACTGAAGTCATTTATCCAAGACCAACTAGACTGAATTCCAGGTTAATCTGGAGGATAAAAAGTGGGTTCAGTTGGGTAGTGGGCTGAAGGTTGGAAAATACAATACCGTGAGGATAGAAAGTGGCCCAAAGTGGCAGAAATCTAGATATCTGAGATAGAGCTCAACCACTCTCTATATGAGGGCTGTCTGCAAAGTATCCAGCCACATAACAGTTCTCATCATATTAACAATGGCTGGATACTTTCTGGACAGCCCTCATGGTCATGGAAAGCAGTCATCCACCATTTTACATGCATGTTGTGAGTCTCTTTCTTCCCCATCTTTTGCTAATCGTAGCAATGTTCTTAAGCTTCTCCCATACACTGTTTTCCTGTGGGTTCCTTTATTTTCTTTCTCGTGGGTCTGGAATGAATAATTAATGTTAAATTCTTATGTGAGTGTCCCTTAACCATGAGATAGTATAAGGCTGAATTGCAGGACTCCTGAAAGAATAATCCTTAGCATTAATTTTTTAATATCTACGTATCTATTATTGATCTCTCATATCTCTGTCATCTTATATCATTGTTCTATCATCTGTCTCTCTATCTTTCTATCTACCTACCTCTTATCTATGTAACTACAAATGTATATATCTATATATCATCTAGCTATCCATCTTTCATCTATCATTTATCTCTCTATCTAATTATCCATCTGTTTTTCTCCTCCTGAAATCCATGGAGAGGAAGGTAGCCTCATTGTGTAGATAGGCAGATTTTTAGTATACTTCTTTATTGAATTTGCAACTCTTTGACAATTCTAACCATCTGCAGGTATCTCAGTATAAATTTCCTGCTCAGCTGAGCCAAAGGCCTCATCTCCCACCTCTGTATGGGTGTGGAAACCCAAGTTCTAGGTTGCTGATACAATATGCCTTCAGTCTTCAGGGCATCTGGAGTGTCAACTGTTTATGGCGTTGTTTCATGTTTGCATTTGTGCATGTGTGTATCTTAACTTTTCCTATTCTGTAAATAATTTGAGTATGGACAATCATGAGGAGTGTTTTTCAGCAGTATTATAAATAAGTTCAGGCAGGCAAGTGTTGCATCACCGTTAATGCTGTTCTTTAATCCCATTGGCCAAGGACTAAAATCAAACTTGCTAGTCAAGTGATGGCAGATGCTACAGTAAGCAAGGAAGCCCGTTTTTATTCTCTGCTACAAGTTCATTTGCAAGAGAGAAAAGAATCACTTCTCTGACACTGGCAAATTTGTGAAGATTGGTGATAATTTAGAAAAGTGGGAGAAATTGCCATTGATTTGAGTTTTATAGCATATCCAACAGCTTGTTAATAATAATTTGAAAATATTCCATTAAAGTAATAAATATTGTTGTAACTGTTAGTGAGGATCACATAATTTTATGTCATTGAAAGGTAACAGAATATGTCACCCAGTAATATGATACATTGGCAAAAGGATGATTTTGAGCTAACATCAGCTGAGAGTCAATAGATGCAACAATGGCATTCTAATCTTCCCTTTTCTTCCTGAGTAAAAGGAGGTAAAATCTCCCAGGTGAAAGATGTCCTCCCTGTGCCAGAAGAAAAGAAACATTCTCCTATGAGTAATAGGAGATCTGTCTATAAAAACAGATCTTGTTGATTTAGCAATGAGGTTGTTCCTACTGTCTTTGATTGTAGTTTGGGTGGAAGAACCAGCTACAAATCAATAAGAAAAAAATCAAACAATCCCATAAAAAAGTGGGCAAAAGATGAACAGGTTTTCAAAAGAAGATAGATTAATGGCCTATAAACACATGAAAAAGTGCTCAACATCTCTAATCAGCAGGAAAATGCAAATCAAAACCACAATGAGATATCACCTAACTTCAGTGCAAATGGCGTTTATCAAAACTTCCCAAAACAACAGATACTGGTGTGGATGCAGAGAGACAGGAACACTCATACACTGTTGGTGGGACTGAAAACTAGTACAACCTCTATGGAAAATATTATAGAGGTACCTCAAAGAACTAAAGTAGACCTACCATTTGATCCAGCTATCCCACTTTGGGGTATTTACTCAAAGGAAAAAAAGTCATTTTATCAAAAAGACACTTGCACTGGAATGTTTATTGCAGCACAATTCATAATTGCAAAGATGTGGAATCAACCCAAGTGCCCATCAATACATGAGTGGATTAATAAAATATGGCATGTGTATATTATGGAATACTACTCAGCCATAAAAAATGATGAACTAATACATTTTGTAACAACTTTGACAGAACTGGAGACTGTTCTTCTTAGTGAAGTATTGCAAGAATGGAAAAATAAACACCACATGTACTCACTATTAAATTGGAACTATCTTGTCAACACCCATGCACACATATGGCAGTAAAACTCAATGGAAACCAGACAGGTGGGAGGAGGGTGAAGTGGACGTCTAAAATGCACACTGTCTGGGAGTTGGGCACATTATAACTTTGACTCCAACTGCACAAAAGCAAATCGTGTAACCAAAACAACTGTTCCCTCATAATATTCTGAAACATATTAAAAATAAAACAAATTATAATTTTAACAAAACAGATCTCATTAAAATAATTCTTATCTTCTTTTAGCTTCTCCACATAATTTCATTATTTTCCACAATTACGACTCTTTATCCCATCCAGTACACATATTGAACTCCAGCTGTGTCTTTGGGTCTTTATTATTTAAGGACTCTCACACATTAAAACTCATGTTAAATTTGTATGTGTGCTTTTCATCTGTAAGTCTATCTTATTTCAATTTAATTCTCAGGCCCAGGTGAAGATCTAATGAGGGTGGAGGTAATGTTTTGTCTCCTTTACATCATCAATATGTATATTTTATCTATGTCGAAAGGGATTTTGTTGCATTACATTTTACATCATTTTACATTGCATTGGTAATAGAGAAGCAAGGAAAGTGTGATCAGAGCAAGTCTTCCAGAGTTTTAATCTATATTAGATGTAAAGACATTAATGAGGATGCATGGCACTTCAAAAAGGAATGTGTACTTGCTGCAGCAAACAATATAGGTTTGAGTGTTTATATTAACATTTTAAGCAATATAATAGATGATAGGATGTTTTCAAAATGTAATCACTATAAATGTTCTATTTGGTTTTCTAATTTTGCTTATTTTATTCATATTAATTATTTTTTTCTTTCTACTAAATCCTTTCTGTTCCTAATTATATACAAAACCTGCATGCTGGCCGGGCGCGGTGGCTCACACCTGTAATCCTAGCACTCTGGGAGGCCGAGGCAGGCGGATTGCTCGAGGTCAGGAGTTCAAAACCAGCCTGAGCAAGAATTAATTGGCCAACTAATATATATAGAAAAAATTAGCTGGGCATGGTGGCACATGCCTGTAGTCCCAGCTACTCAGGAGGCTGAGGCAGGAGGATTGCTTGAGCCCAGGAGTTTGAGGTTGCTTTGAGCTAGGCTGATGTCAGGGCACTCACTCTAGCCTGGGCAACAAAGCCAAACTCTGTCTCAAAACAAAAACAAAAACAGGCCGGGCGCTGTGGCTCACGCCTGTAATCCTAGCTCTTGGGAGGCCGAGGCGGGCGGATTGCTCAAGGTCAGGAGTTCAAAACCAGCCTGAGCAAGAGCGAGACCCCGTCTCTACTATAAATAGAAAGAAATCAATTGGCCAACTGATATATATATAAAAAAAATTAGCCGGGCATGGTGGCACATGCCTGTAGTCCCAGCTACCAGGGAGGCTGAGGCAGAAGGATCGCTCGAGCCCAGGAGTTTGAGGTTGCTGTGAGCTAGGCTGACGCCACGGCACTCACTCTAGCCTGGGCAACAAAGCGAGACTCTGTCTCAAAAAAAAAAAAAAAAAAAAAAAAAAAAAAAAAAAAAACCTGCATGCTACTCATTAAAGTGTAAACAACACCTCCAAAACTCATTCAACTACATATTTCCAGGAAACTGAAAACAAAATTCAGGAGAATAAGAGTACTGAATACAGTTAACATCTCTGATATTAAATTAAATCAATCTTTTTTCATTAGGTTCAGAACAGTGAGGGAATTATTTCCAGATTTGACATCAGAAACTTGACCCTAATACTAGTTGTTCAACTATGAATTTCAATATCCTGATTTATGAATTATGGAGGGGGAAAAGTGCTTTTTACACACGGATATTGGGCAAGATCGTTCATGTGAGTATTCTTTGGTTTTTATTTAGGATAATGTCATGGGTTAAAATTGTGTTCCCCCCAAATGTATGTTGAATTCTTAATTCCCAGTACCTATGAATGTGGCTTTACTTGGAAATAGTTTTTCAGATGTAATCAAATCAGAACGATGGTATGGTGGGGCGTGCTTAATTCAATGTGGCTGGTGTCTTTATAAGAAGATACGGGAAGACAGAGGGAAGGCGAGGGACAGACTGGAGTGATGCTGCCATAAGCCAAGGACTGTCTGTGGCTGCTAGAAACTGGAGGAGCCATGGAGGATCCTCTCCCCCGAGGTTTCAGAGGGAGCAGGACCCTGCTAACCCTTTGATTCTGGACTTTCTGTCTCCAGAACTGAGGGAATATATTTCTGTTTTTAAAACCACTCTGTTCATGATACCATGTGGAGTCATCCCTGGAAATGAACACAGACAGGTTACTTCTTAATAGTTTTGACAAGCTTGGGAAGCACTGCTTGAACTTCCTCTTACACTTTTGGCCAACCCCCTTTAGAATATTGATAAGGTGATACATCTAAGAAAATGATATTTATAGAATTTGAAGACTGTAAGGACGTAAAGATAACTTTGAGTCTCAATATCAAACTATTCACAGACAGGAGGGGGAAGAACCTTTCCTTAAAACACACGTCTCTGTTCATGTTCGGCCACAGGAGAATTGATTAAAACAAATGTCACTTTGTTTTCTGTAGCCGAAGAGATGTTTTCAATTTCTAGACATTGCACCATGGAATCTATCACTCATGTGAAATGTGCTGCACATCTCTGAAAAAAAAAAATTCTGCAGATGAGAAAAACACATCTTGTAAGACATTACCTTGCTTTGCCAAGAAATGAGAAATTATTCTACCTGTGCTCATCCTAATATAAAATGTTCATTGCTACACATTTGCTTCCCCATTATGTTACTTAAAAGATTTTTAGCGTTTTAAAACTGTTGCTCAAAACATAGATATCGTTTGAAAAGCAATATGCATTTACTCAGGATAATGATTTCTTGAATCACACACTTAAAAATAAATCTTTGATAAGTCTGATTAAATAGGTTAACCAAAATCGACTGAAATAACAAAAGCCACTCTATCTTTTGCTGACCAGCTAAAATGGACCAAGGCAGAAAAGGAGAGGCCCTGCCATGACATATAAGAACAAATAACAACCTTGAGACATAGCCTTCCTCATTTCTGAAGGCCTTAAAATCAGGCAGCTCTGCCACAAATTAGCACACTGGAGTTCACAGCTTGCTGGAGATTCCTTTGGCTGTTGTTTTCTTTTGAACTGAGATTCAGATCACATCCCATTGCTTACATTCCTACAGGAGCCTTTCTTTGCTCTTTCATTTATTTCCTATCTACTGCTACAGTTTATCCTGAGAAGACTCATGGTGTCTATTTGTAACAGAAGATGTGAGCTTGATATAAATATACTGTAAAAGATGTTCTGATTTAGAAACGATTGGAATTTTCCAATCATCAGCTGATGGACGCTTAGGTTGATCCCGTATCTTTACAAGTGTGAACTGTGCTGCAAGAAATATATGAGTGCAGGTGTCTTTTTGATGTAATGACTTCATTTCCTTCAGGTAGATAACCAGGAGTGGAATTGCAAGATTGAATGGTAGATGTAATTTTAGTTCTTTGAGGAATCTCCATATGGTTTTCCACCCGGGTTGCACTGACTGACTTTCCCACCCACAGTTTACGAGCATCCACTTTTCACTACATCTACACCAGCATCTGTTGGTTTTGCCTTTTTAATAATGGCCATTCTGACTGGGGTAAGATTGCTAGAGCGGGAGACAGGGCTGAGACTAGATGCAGGGGCTTGCAAAGTGGGTGCAGGTGTTCAAGTCTAACTAAGGGGGGGTTGGTGACCACAGACTAGGACCAGCTTCAACCAGCTTGTCAGCTATCTAGTCCACCTTACACGAACTTCGACTAACTATAGTATCCTTTTCATTGTGGTTTTAAAATTTCTCCACCCTTGAAATCACCATGACAGTGATATAAACAACCATATAAAATATGAAAATGGAGGGGACCCAATTCTTGAAATTACCACTCAAATTCTTAGTAAAATCCAACCCTTTAGCCTCAAATCTTCCTCCCCTAAATTAGCAAGATTTCAAAAGGCCAAAACCCACATCTTCCTGGGGCAGCTGCTCTTTTCAAGCCTGCCTGCTCTTCCTTTCTCGAGAGTGTTCTTTCGCTTTCAATCTTACCTTTCAATAAGAAACTGTCGCTTTGGCGTATGTGGTGCACCCTGAAATTCTTTTTGCGGCTGTTCCCATGAACCTGAAAAGGCCTCCACTCAGAGGAGAGAAACAATATGGTATCTGATTGTGGTTTTAATTTGCATTTTCCTGATGATTGGTGACCCTGGGCTCTTTTTCACGTTTGCTGGACATCTGTGTATCTTCTTTTGAAAAATATCCATTCATAATCCTACTCAGATATAAAAAAAAGAATAAGATAATATATTTTGCAACAATTTGGATGGAACTGTAGGCCATAATTCCTACTGAAGCATCTCGGGAACCAAAATCCAAGTACTGTGTGGGTACAATTTCCAAATACTGTACAAAATCCAAATACTGTACTTGGGTACAATTTACACTATTTGGCTGATGTGTACACTAAAAGCCCAGTCTTCACCACTATACAATTCATCCGTGTAACAAAAAAGCACTTGCACCCCAAAATCTATTGAAATAAAAAAAGAGATTGTCAATTTGATATTTTTTATATTACTATTTGATAGTTTGGTTCTATGATATTCTCAGCTCCCCAAAGCCTTCAGATTTCAGTAAGATTTTCTGGTGAGTATCTGAAAGCCTAGCCCAGTGATATATGGTACTAATTAGAAAACATTGAGTCAACAAGATATTCAGGCTTCATTTTCCCTTAAATATAAAAGCCATTGAGAATACCTATCTGCAAGAGATACAAGTCTTCATTTCTTATGCTTCAAAAGCTGTAAAATGAATTGCTTATTAAAATATAAAAATATATTTTTATTATATTATATAAAAGTCCATTATATAAAAATAATGGAGTTCACAGCACTATAATTCTCTCCCATAAAAAAGCAATCAAATTGGTATACCTAAAACTGGTGCCTTGAACAATGCAAGCTATTAAGTCAAATTGGAAAGAAATGTACAATAAATTATGCACTATGCACTTATACTTGCTAGAGGCAGATTCTCTGTCACACTCTGTCCTTTTGAAGTAAGCTTTTGCTTCTCGCTACAACTTTCTTTTATGTATTTTTCTTTCTACATGTGTTTAATCTCAAATATTTTGGGTGTGCATGTGTGTATAGGCAAATACAAAGTAGGAATCCACTAAGATAAGAATAAAATATTAGACATCACGTTATCACTACTGTATCATACACTAACTTAAAAACAAAAACATTCTTAACACAGAATTCTTCAAGAGTGCTTGTAAATGCTTTAGTACATTAATTTTTTCTTCTGTCAAATTAAGTCCAGCGAGGGTTGTAACCATTTATATTGCCAGAACAGTGTCCAAGAGTGGCTGACTTATGGAACTAGTTTTATATATTTTTTTAAATTTTGCCACTTTGATACCATTTAAATAGTACTTTATTGTTGTTTTATTTTGTATTTCTTTGAAAACAAGTTCATTCCTTTATTGCAGGTTCATTAGTCATTTTTGATCAGGTAATTTTTGTAGAATTGTCTTTTACCTTATAAAATGGGGAGTTTATAATTTTCTTTCACTGATTTGGTAGTATGCTAACTTTATCAAATTTTTCTTTTTGCATATACTTTAAACATATATTTTAATTTTCAGGTTACTTTTTCTTCATTTTTTTGTGATGATTCTGATGTGTTGAATCTTATAATTTTTTATACTTAAATCTGTCAATTTATCTACTTCTCATTTTTCAGACAGAGAAAATATCATCCATGCCAAGATTAGATAAATGTCCATGTCTGTATTTTATAGTTCTTTTTTTAATTTCAGAATATTATGGAGGTACAAATGTTTAGGTTACACATGTAGTTCTTTCATTTAAAATATTAACCATTATTTTTTTTTTATTCATTTTATATATCTGAAATAATTTTTTAAAGTTTAAACATGTCCATTTGCTAAATAATTTTCTTAACACCAACTGAAATCTCATCATTGCATATATTTCATTCTAGTAAGGTTAATTTTGTCATTTAGTATTATGTGAGAATGATTTATACAGTCCAATTATATTGCCATATTACTAATTATGCCTGATAACCGGCAGTAAAATCAACCTCTGTTATTCTTCCAAATCAAACCATTCTTGCATATTCTCAAAATGTAATTTACAACTAATAGTTTTCAAGTCCCCAGAACATGCCTTTGCTACTTGTTTGAAATTACTTCCTGTTTATTGATCCATTTCAGAAACAAGGGTTACATAGCGCAAGGTTAAAGAGCCCAGAGACAGGAGACAGACTGCTCAGGTTCAAATCCTGGTTTTGTCACTTCCTGTCTGTGTGATCTGGAGAAACTTAATTAGCCTCTCTGTGCCTCAAGTTTTTCATCTGTAAAAGGTAAATAATAACAGTAGCTACCTCCTTGGACGCTAGTCAGAATTAAATAACGTGTTATTTATTAATAGATAGAATAATGCCTGGCATACAGTAAGCATAATTCAAGGATTTCTTTAATAAACTGTGTCTGTTTATTCAAGTCTACTCTTGTACCTTTCTATAGAGCTTTTCATTGGATTCATAGGTTAAGGGCACTTTTCTTGTTACACTGACTTCTAGTTCCACTCTGTACCCTCCCCGACAGCTCTATTCTCTCCTTCCCTCTATGGCTTTAGCTTTATAGTTATTTTCCAGTTTTTAAAATTAAAAATTGTATAACATTCTTGTAATTATCCCTTTGGACATGAACTATTTGGGGATATGAATTTCTATCTAGAGTGCAGCTTTGGCCATGCTTCTTAATGTTAATTTGTAGTAATCACATTTTCAACTTTGTTGGCCAGCCTATAGTTTTTAAGTTCAAATTCATACAAATTTGTATCTGTAGAATGCTTTCAAAATGATAATTTAAATTCTTCTATGACAATTTAATCACCTTACTGCTTCCCCTTTTTTCCCAGTTTCTTATCTATTTTTGTTTGCATATTTTTCTCATTAATAGTGTGTGCTTATCATTTCATGTCTTAGATCTTATTTTACAAAAGCTAAACTTCTTGAATTTTATGGTAATATACATTTATTCTTTAGTAAATATTTTTATTTTTCAAATATATGCATTTCTCCTAAAAATATCATGTATCTATCTTAAAAAAAAAACAAACAGAGTACAATTTATGTAGAAATCTGGTGGGAAGCAGCATGTTAAGCCAATCACAACAGACAGTCACCTTTAACTCCTGACCCATAACTTCACTTATTTAGTCATGATATAGGAGTCATGAAAACATTGGAACTATAAATTTATGTAACTCTATAAAGACTAACTAGATTCATCAACATGTCCTACTCTGAAGCCAGGAGGACAGAATGAGAAGGTTGTGTCAACTATTCATTTGTCTTTTTTACCTTTGGTACATTTGGTTCAATCTTATTTGTAGATTAGAGAGATAAAACAATCCTAGAAAATTACTGCTATGAGCTCAGCCATCTATTAAAAGCCATCTATTTTAAAAAGCTCACTCATCTGTATTATATTTTGTGGATTTTGTATTAGCAGATACCTACTGGCCTTCAAATGGCATTCTCAAAGTTGCTAGTCAAGTGAAATTAATTCTGAAAACGCCATCTTAAGGAATAAGTGCGAGAGCATGGATTTTTAAAGGCATACTCGTTGTCAGGGTGTAAGCTGAATCTCCTCAAAAATGAATCTGATAAATTGAGAAAAAAATCAGAATTAAGGAAAAATGGCTAATATACTGATGATTGGAATTCAAAATGTGAATATGAAATAGAAAGAAAGTAAAAATGAACGAACAGTAAGTAAAAGGCAATGCTTAGTTTATCAAGCCCCATGCTATCTCTTCTCCTTTCTGACCTCACTATGTACAGAGAAAGTAAAATAAATACTGGAGTAAAACAGGCAATAATTATTACGTTGAAAAAAAAAAAAAAGGATTCAGAAGCACACTCCTTTGGAGGAAATGCCAAAGGAATGAATGATCAGGGTGGGGTCATGAAGGTAAATGTGATGTTTCTGCCATCAGTGTATTTAAAACTCTAGATGACAGAGTAAGTCAAGTCTCCCCCAATGAAAAGTAGATTCATTTGTGCAACTTGTTTAACTTGGGTAGTGGTAAGGCCCACTGGGTGTCTGCAGCACAAATCCTCAGGCCACTAATGAGGAGCTCTGACAGCAAGAGATACTGCAGCAATCCTGGGGAACTGAACAGTGTAGCCTTGGGCTATAGCTTTGTGCAGCATCCGGTGCTTATGGTCAGCGGATGGATGAGCAACTTCTGAAGACAATCTGAGAGTGACTGTCCTCATTGTGCCAGAGTGTTGAGGGAAAATGGTGCTAAGAAAAAAGAGCAATCGACAACTTTTCTACAACTTTATCAAGGTGTTTAAAAATCTAGACTTTGAATAACAATTTATTTTTTTTCCGCAGTTATTTGTAAAGGTCAGATATGGTTTAAAACTGCTTTCAGCACTCTGGAGGAACAAGAGAAACCAAAGGAAGGAAAATTGAACAGAGAATGAATGAAATAGTGTAACTTTGAATCTACATCCGTACTCAATGGCTACTGTGGAAGGAATCTAAGAGAACAAAGTGAGTTTCTTCACACATGTTCTGGCATAGGAAGAACGCTATGATATATTCCTTACAGCTGCGAGTAATCTGGGAAAATGCTCACCTAGAAATGGGGGACTGTAATATCCTTCTATCACCCCATGAATACAGTTGACACCATTAGGAGCAAGTGTTAATTGTTTCTCTTTTTTATAGTATGTGTTCAGACTGCTTGTAGGGGCACAACCCTTAAGTAATCTTTTCTGAGACTTCTAGTGAAGGATATTTTAAAGTGACTTTTGAAATTATATTGCCTGACTCTTGATTTTTTTTTTATGGTCGATATAGTTTAAAAGAAATGACAATTATAGCTGTTTTTAATTTTTATTGTGATGATCTGTTATTTTTTTCCACAAATAAAATATGGCAGGGAGGACTCACATAGTGTTTGGCTTTGCTCTTATATTTCCCTCCTTTTCAAAAATATGAAATGTTCAAAGATTCTTTTGTCAAGTAAAATTTGCAGGAGGCCAGTGATTTGTACTGGGCTTCAGCACGGAAGCCTAACAGATCAAACAGACCAATATGGAGTTTAACTGCAGCAGCTGAGCTTCAGTTAATCGTAGGATGCTCTGTAACTAATTAACCGATTAAGCTGTGACTAATTAAGATGCCTTCATCTGCACTTCTGTATCTTATAAATGCTGCCAGATAATGTTATAGGTTGGAGTTCTCTGACCCTGGTCTGATTTGGAGGTCTGCAAATGATTCACTAATCATTTGTGTTTGTTTTGCTTTGTTTTTCTTTGCACAAGTAAACTCCATTAAACTTGTCTAAGATTTTGTTTTTCTGTTTAATACTTTTAAAGTCCATCTTTGATCAGTGATCAGTATTTATAAACAAATCATACTTTTCAAAAGTGAAAAAGGCTTCACAGAATAAAACAGTATGAAGATCTTTCAAGACAAGAATATGGGTACCTGAATGAACCTGTATTTCGAAAGTCAGCAGACTTGTGTAGAACATGATGCAGGTTTGGAAGGGTGTTAACAATGGCAGTGTTTTGTTTTCATGCAATAACTAGCAAATGAAAAAGGATATTAAAAGCTTTTTTCCCCCAAAGTAAATTGTTACATTAGAAATATTTGTATTTAATTGAACTTGAACTTTTTTTTATTACTTTCTAAGAACAGTAAACTATGTAAGGCAGGAAAAAAGAAAAACCTAAAACAACTTTGGGCTTGGGACCTCTTTCCCTGTACCGGAAGGACCATACTGCCTTGGAATAATCCAAGCCAGACTTACAGAGACACATGGATGGCTTCTGTCATCTGTCAGTGGAGGCAATGATTGCCTTTGTGTGATTCAAGGACTTTAAGAGATAGTTGATAGTGAGAGGAAAGTGGACTTTCAAATCATAAAAAAAACATAAAAAGATGACAAAATCTGAGCAAGAGTACTCACTCATTTTGTGGCTTCAAATAGAATACTACAGATTTATGTGGTTTGGATTCCTTTTTTCATAAACTGGAATAAGGTAGTGTGAGTATTCAATGGCAGTGCACGTATAAAACACCTGGCACAAGGTGCCCAGTAAGTATTTTTACTTTATTTCCCAAATACCCTCTGTATCTAAATGTCACGGTGTTTCACAATTACACCCCTTCTAAAATGCAAATACTTCCTGGGAGAATAATATCAAGTCTCCAGATCCATATCATAAACTCATAAATAATATTTATTGCCTAATAATTTCATACATCAAATTCTATTCGTATCATACAAAAATAGGATTTGCACGTTTCCTCCTCTCTGTGGAAGACCTGCCTCCTTTTCTTAAAGAGTCATCTTCACGCATGGAGATGGTCCTACCTCCTCCTACTTCTCGGCGCTGTACTCTCTCCTGAAGCGTCATCACCCCAGACTATTCTAATACATTTGCACTTGACACTTAACCGCACCCACGTTCCTGCCACCTGAACACCAAGCCCCTCTGGTTACCCTGTAGTCTCTCTCTTTTCGCTGTCAGAGACACTTCTTGAGATAGTCCATCGTCTAGGCTTTCTCCACTTCCTTACTGACGACTCCTCTCCTGGACCCGGCTTCCATTTCCACGTTCACTTCCGTATTGCCAATGTCAAAGATATTTTTTTTTCCCCTTTGATTAAATCTTTCTGCAGGTTATGATGCTTCGGGCCATTTTTCTTTCTTCCAACTCTTACTTAACCTCACCTTACATAAAAGCAGACTTTTGGTTTTCCTCCTAACTCCCTGGCGTCATCCCAATCCTTTCCATGAGGCCCATCCACTCCTCTGCTCAACTTGCAAATATTCCTGATGTCCCAGACTGTATCCGTAGCCTTGTGTGCTCCTCCTACTACATGTTCTTCCAGAACAACCTCATCCAAATCTATCTATCCTGCTACCAATTCCATCCCAGATACAGATTTGCAATCCTAATCTCTCACACTCTCTACCTATATATAACTGCCCAACTGCAATCTCTGCTTGGGTGACTCATGGCACCTTAAACCAATTATGTAAAACTAATTTTTAATCCTTTGCTATGGTCCAATGCATCAAATTCGCCCAACTTTTGGTACTTCCCACCTTGGACAATGTCACTGTTGACAGCCCAGTGTCCTGGGGTGGAATCTCATGATCAGTCTTGACCTGTCTCCTGCTCACTCAGCCATGCTCTTCTCCTATCATTTACTCATCATTTTTTTTATGTCCACTTTTCTCAAGTTCAATCTTCAATTTGTTTTCTCTATTCCCCATGCCATTTCCTTATTTAGATATTTATTATTATTATCATCATGCTGATTATTATTCAGATTAAAAACAAAAACGCTGACTCTGCCAAGGACTCTTAACGCTGCCGTAGTCAACTTTGTAGATGGCAACACAGATCATGCATGTCACTACCGTACCTACTTAAAACTTGATGCTTCATTGATGTTAGCAACGTTTAAGAAGAATCAGTTTACCATTTGAGCTCCTCCTTATCTCTTCCTGCCTATGTCTTATGCTTCATTTTCTGGTACTTCCACACTTATTTTTATTTCAGCTAAAAAGAAATACTTGCAGTTCTCCAAATGGGTCATGCAGTGTCGTGCTCCAATATCATCATTTCATTTGATTGCAAAACTCTTCCCTTTTCACCTCACATATTATTAATTTTTTTTTCTCAAATTTCAGTTTAAGTATGCTTTCTTCAATGAGCTCTCTGGGTTCCTTCCAAATTTCTTTTCTCTGCTCTTACCTTTTCCTTCATAACACATGGCATTTTACTTCCACTGATTACTTCTTTTTTTCCTCAGTAAACTCTAGCTCTTTGAAGGCAAAATCGTGTCATATTCAGGTCTATGTTTCTAGCTTATAGTGTCATGCCATAATAATTATTTTATGTGAATGTCTGCTGAATGAATGATTAAATAAGGGACCAGAGTCATTATGAGGAAAACCATTCTTCAAGAGGGAATCCATGAGGTATGTGAGGAGGTGCAAAAAATGAACTCTTCCTATAATTTTGCCAGAATCTTCTGTGTCAGGTCAGGTAGTTAAGCTATGAGATTTCAGGATTTATGATTGCCAGGCATAGACAAGTGCATATTCCAGCATTCACAATGTGCATTTTCATTGAATAATATTTTTTATATTTCCCTAGGCCCATTTATATGCCAGTAAAATTTCTTTTCTAAGTGGATATGAGCTTAGGAGTTGCTGTTATTTTTCATCTTTATTTTATAATTTTTATGTATTTCCTGAATTTATTTGAATTCATTTATCATTTTGGTTATTGAAAAATCCATCCAAAACTCAAGACGGTAATCCAAAATTCCACTTAACAATTATAATTAAATATATAATTTTTAGACAGAAGAGGGATCAGAGATTATCTAGTCTAAGACTCTCATTTTGAAGAATCTGAAATTTCAGTGGTTAAGTTGGTTACCCAAATCACACAGCACACTAGTGATTTAGGGATTTATTTTAGGATCTATTTAAAGAATAAATTTTTACTCTTTATTAAAGAAATTTTCTGGCTATAATAAGAATTATCTCAACTATTTTTATGAGTGCTTAACAAATTTTGAAGCCCTCACATGACATAAATAGCTACTGTTTTTAGTGTGGCCTGGCATTATTAGATTCTGCTTGCTAAAATATGTTTGCTAAGATAGTGTTTAGTATGCCAAAGAATATTTTTTCAAAAATTTAAAAACATGAGTCTCATGCAAATATAGAATGAACACATACCAAAGATTTTATTTAATATAGTCAAGGGGAAGATGAGATGAATTTGCTAATACCATTGTCCCTTAGTATTTGTAAGGGTTTGGTTCCAGGAACCCCTGCAGATACCAAAATTCATGGATCCTCAATTTCTTTATATAAAATGGCATAGGATTTTTGTATAACCTAAGCACATCCTCCTATATACTTTAAATCATTTCTAGATTACTTGTGACACCTAATATAATGTAAATACTATGTAAGTAGTTGTTACACTGTATTTTTTTAAGTTTGTGGTTTTTTTATTGTTTTGTTTTTTTTTATTTTTATTTTTTGCATGGATGCAGAAGCTGCAGAAATGAAGGGCTTACCATATTTGTGAACTGATTAGGGACCCACATGACAATAAAATGGTAATCTTTGAACAGATGAAAGATAATATGTAACTTCAAACATCCGAGCTCTTCTCAAGAGTAAAAAGACACACATACATGCCTTTTTCAATTTAATTTAATAACCCCTGGGTTAGTCTGTCAAACAAACTCCCCAAATGACATGGAAGAGACTTGCAGTCATTTATTTTATTTCCAAGTTTTATATAATTTAAAAAAGTATATTATAAAATTCTTTGCAATGCCCTCCTGTATTTCATAACATGGTAAACTTTCTAGTTTTATATAAGCCTGTGAAAGAAAAGTATGTGAAAAGACTAACATCTAGAAGAAACTATTACAGTGTGATGCAAGGTGTGTATATGTTGCTTTAATTGAGCAAGGGAAAGGAGTAACACAAAATCCTA